TCCCCTCCTTTATGCACGGACTTGCACACACAAGTATATGGGTTTGATAGTGTATAATATTGGAAGTATAAAATTCTTGAGAGCTCATTGTTAGCATTGATGTCTTGTGCCTGCACTTGTGCAGATTTTTACGGGGAGACCAATATGCCATTGCATTAGCATTGTTAGATGAAGGGAAAGTTGTCTTGGGAGTATTGGCCTGCCCAAATCTTCCTTTAGCTGCAGTTGCCAGCCATAATCAGCTCATTTCTAAAGATGATGTTGGTTGTCTTTTTTATGCCCACGTTGGTACTGGAACCTATATGCACAGTCTAGATGGCTCCAAGTCAACAAAGGTTTGTATTTTCCTTGCACAATTACTTTAACTGATACTTCAAACAGAAATTGAAATCCAGTTTTCATATTGTCTTTCAGGTACATGTTTCTGCAACTGAAAACCCTGAAGAAGCATCATTCTTCGAATCTTTTGAAGCAGCACATTCGATGCATGACTTATCTGGTTTGATAGCCAAAGTACACTCTCTCTCTCTCTCTCTCTGCTGATATGTGTTAGCGCTTTATATTTTTGCAAAAAGCTTGTAATTTTGTATTTGATGATAGAAACTCGGTGTTAAAGCACCTCCAGTTAGAATAGACAGCCAAGCAAAGTATGGGGCTTTGTCTAGAGGAGACGGAGCAATATACCTGCGTTTCCCTCACAAAGGATACCGAGAAAAGATATGGGACCATGCAGCTGGATACATAGTAGTTGCAGGTTGATGAAATCTCTTAACATTTTATCAATCATCGTTCTTAATAGCAAAATCATATCATTGTTCACAAATTTTGTTTATCTGTAGTACAATTGATCTCCCATTAGTAAATTGCATATGTTACTGTTAAGTATAGAATTAAAACAGGGAATAACATTCAGAAGTGAGACCATTTAGCTGCTACTTTGGGACTAGCAAATTATACAAACTGCTAGAGGAAGAATCATTCATTGATCTATCATCTAGACGTTATAGTTGGTCTGAATCTGAGCTAATTGGATATAGTTCTAGTTTTATAATCTATGTTCATATTTAACTTTTTTCATGCAACAAATGGTTTATTGTGGTTGCATGTTTCCCTTAATGGTTATATCCACATTGTGAATACAAAAAGGATCTCAAATTATGCGCACAATAAACGAACTTCCCATGTTATTAAATAGATATGTAATTAAAAAGATACGCATGACATATATTGATTCGCGAAAAATTTATTCTAATGTTCACAACTCTGGTTTTGTAGAAGCTGGAGGTGTGGCCACCGATGCTGCTGGAAATCCTTTGGACTTCTCAAGGGGAAGGTATCTCGACATGGACACTGGCATAATAGTTACAAATCAGAAGTTGATGCCGGCTCTCTTGAAGGCTGTTCAGGAGTCTCTAAAGGAGAAAGCTTCGTCCTTGTGATTCGAGTTTTAAATGAGGTGTTAACTGCTCAATAGTATTTGCAACGCAATTGGGACAATTCATTTTGCAGTTGTAACTGAGGGCATAGTTTGCACAACTTCTTTATCTCGTTCTTACTGTTAGTTTATTTTTGAATAACAATGATGTTCCTGAATGGTTGCAAATCAACTCAGTCATCTCTGTTCTGAATTACATTATACTTACCCTTTATCAAATTGTCTACAAAGAATCTTGACCATTAAATTGTTCTGAATTACATTATGCTTTAACAATTTATACACACATGGCCCATCAGCAATGGACATTATAATTAGGGCTGGGCAAATATCCCGAACCAAACCGACCGAACCCGAATCCGAACCGAAACCGACGGTTCTTGTTAAATTAAATATCCGAACGGGTATTTGAATTGAGAATCGACGGATACGATTCGGTTCTCGATTCTAGACCAAGAACCGAAAAATCGAATAAGAACCGAATCTTTCTAATTTTTTTTTATATTGAATAAATCAAATTATTTTAATTTTAATTTTAATTTTTTTTAAATAAATTAACAATTTCTAAATCCAAATTTTTGGCCCAATTACCCATTTTATTGTTTCATTTCTTAGCCCAACAAGATTTAACCCACTAAATAACCCTAAACACTTACACTAAAGTGCATAACGTTGTCTCGATTCTCGCATTCTCGCTGACATGCCAAAATCTATACAATCGTTGACCGATGCTGTGACCTCCGATCGAAGCTGTGACCCCCACCAACCGAAATTTGGACCGTAGTAATCATTTGAATAATATAGTCTATTAGTCTCTGACATTTCAAAACCATTGAACGTGTCATTAGTTGTATTTATATAATATTGTTATAAATATTAAAAAATTTAATTATAGTACAGAACCGAACCGAACTGAACCGAACCCGAACTGTTCCATAATTATATTTGGATCCGACGATTTCATTTACTAAATACCCGAAAATTTTGGTTCGATTTGGTTCTCTTTAGAATCGAACCGACCCGCGCCCACCCCTAATTATAATCTTGGGCAGGAGATCAATTCTGGTACTGTACCATCCCATTTAGTACCGTACCAAATATGAACTTGTAGTGCCCTAAGATGGCTAGCTGCAACTACACAGAAGCTCTGTCAGTAGGCAGGCAGTCAGTTTTGGTATCATACCATCCCATTTAGTACGTACCAAATATGAACTTGTGGTGCCCTAAGATAGCTACAATTACACCGAAGCTCTGGCAGTGGGCAGGAAGTCAATTCTGGTACTGTACCATCCCATTTAGTGCGTACCAAATATGAACTTGTAGTGCTCTAAGATAGCTGCAATTACATAGAAGCTCTGGTTGACAAACTTTATAGGTTGTTGACAGAGGATATCCACTTTCTAATGCCTTAAGAGGTAAGTTTTTAATGGCCTTGCAAACATACAATTTTAACAGCATTTGAGTGGGGATCGACAGAATAAGAAAAGCAACACGACAAGAACGGGAATGGAAAAAATATTCTATCTGGTATTTATGCTCATCGTGGCCTTTATAAAAATTTGTAGACAAGAAAGCTTAAAATAAAAACGTAATATAAGCAATTATGCAGTCATCTATCATCGTAAGACAATATAACTGCCCTATATAGAGGGATGTCGATACAGAATGCCATAGATACAGTGTACATACACAATATAGAGCATCATCTGGATTTCACAGAGAATGTATGTGCTGGACTTTCTGAATAGCTTCCTTAACCTTATCTGATGGCTCTTCATACAGGAAGGCCGGATCGTCAAACTCCGCAGCCAGGCTCGGTTCCCCAAGAAAGGCACGGAATGAGTCAGCAACTGAATGCGAAAGAGAACTGAGGTTATAACCTCCTTCAAGGAAAAACACACAGCGACCCCTGCATAAATCTTTGGCAAGTTCCTTAATGCTAGAAGCCAACATGTAATATGTTCCTGTTGTGAATTGCAGATTTGCTAGTGGATCCAACACATGTGCATCGTATCTGGACAAAAAATTCATAAACCTCGTATCATATATGCAAGAAGCATGAATACTTTTAGCAAAATTGACAGGGAATGATAAGAGATCAAACCAGACTAGAGTTTTGAATATACCAAGAAAATATATCAAAAGATCACTCACCCAGCTGAAACGAGAATTATATCCGGCTTGAACCTCCTAGCACATGGTACAATAACTTCATCGAAGACAATTCGCATGGCTCTATCACCCGATCCTCCTGGTAAAGGCAGGTTAAGAGTTGTTCCTTCACCATCTCCATCACCTATCTGATTTATTTTACCAGTGCCAGGATAACTCCCGTCCTACATTAGAGATGAATCAAATTATACAAGTGGACATGCTTGTACACTTCGCACAGCATAAAAATAGTGATAGGGATTTATCGATTGAGGTCAAAAACTTAATGACTGTGCATGCTAAAGTTAATAACATAATTTATGCAATCCTGCTTAGGGAATCTCTATTACTTCAATTAAATATTCTGTTTAGCCAAATAACAATCTAAGACTTTAGAAATATAGGCTTAATAATGAAAAAGTGGTATTATGCAAACTAAATAGCTGGCAATGTCAACATCTCTCAGAAAAAGGGATTACAGTGCAGTTGCTTGCTAAACATGGGTAAATACTTTCAGATTATCAGTAAGGTATTAGCTAAATATCCACACCTACATTATCTTGCTAGCAGATCAGAGATTATCATTTCAGAAAAATATTTGGACATAAAAGAAATGTGGTGTGCAGGTTAGGCAAAATCCTTTTTCTTTTCACAACAAAGTGTTTAGTTTCTTTCCCTAGACCGATGACTTGTTCTGTGCTGCTAACAACTAGCTTTATGCGAGTGATTATGAGTGTGCACATGTGAGAGAAAGAGAGAGAGGGGGGAAGAGAGGGAGGGGAGGAGAGAGGGGGAGAGAGAGAAAGAGAGAGAGGGAGGGAGCGGGAGGGAGAGAGAGAACTGGATGTTCCAAGTTGAGGAAGAAGAAGCATAGCAAGGAAATAAGGTATAATGGAAACTGAATCGTACTCAAAAGAAATATTTCTACATGTTGAAACTCAAATAATAAAACAGGCAAGGTATTTTATCGCGCCTCGAGTGGAAAGATTATCCAATATAAAAACTTGGCTCAGCCATTGAGCAAAATGATAAGTTTCTAGTAAATGGGTAGGCCAACAGGCAAAAAATTATGTTTCATTTCTAACCATCTTAGGCAGGAGAAGCACGATTTGACATGAACTATAGTCTAGTTTTGCATGATCTAGGATATCTCATTCCTAACTTTGTAACTTCGAATGGAAGAAATTCATGACATCTCATTAAGCTTCATAGTTTCCAAGAAATTATACTAAAATATGAAAATAGTGGTAAGGGGTAAGGCATAGTTGGGAATTTAATTATAGTATGGCTTACTTGGTGAGTAGAAAGAAAAAATATATCAGGGTCGTCATAGAAGGCATCATTTGTCCCATTCCCATGATGAACATCAAAGTCAATGATAAATACACGCTTCAACCCATGTACACGTTGGGCATAGCGAGCTGCTATAGCCACGTTTCCAAACACGCAAAATCCCATGGGTCCCTTGGGAATAGCATGGTGACCAGGAGGCCGTACCAAAGCAAAACCAACTGGAGGATCTTGCCTAACTTTTGATGCCAAAACCTGCAACATTGGGCCACAGAAATAATCAAGGGTTTCAGGGAATAGGTATCTCCATCTCATTATAAAAGAGAAACTTTCATAACCATCACAAAAATAAAAAAGAATTAATTCAAATAAAAAATGTGAATATTTAAATAATAGTATCAAGGGGAAAGGAAAGGTCATCACAAAAGTGACTAACGTATTAGATTGAGACATCACCACTGAATCAACCAACGAAATTCCAGCCCCAGCTGCCAATATCGACTCTTGGAATGTCTGTATAATTGAGAATGTCAAAAAGAGAAATAAATAAGTCATTAGCACATCATCATTGAGACAGTTACTCGCCAAAAATAACGAGAGGACATTCGTTTAAACTTGGCGTCCTTTACATGCAGGCCATATTCATTTTTTCATCAAATTCCTTACATGCGCACAATTTCCACAAAACGATGCCGAGACTTGATCACAAGACCTTATTTGTTCTCATACCAATTGAATTATCTCATCTAAAAGCTTAAACTCTTACAGAATGGGTAAAACTATTTTTTTAAATTTTGGGCATCAAACAAAAATTGTCCAAGAGAAAATTATTGTCATGTATATATAATTATTAATTATAGAAAATTATTATTAAAAGTTGTATACAATTCATAAGTTATGGAAATTTCATTGCAGACTTACGAAAAGTACGCACGAAAAAAAAGAAAAAGAAACAAAGTGATTTATTTTCTGACCATAATAGTTTTTAAGTTAAGAAATTTACAATTTTATTATTTTGGCAACTTGCTATTTTAGTTAAAATTTATAAGGAGGACCAGTGTTTTAGAATAATTTCGACAATTGATTTGAGTGGTTAGTGTATTGATATTATTCACCTTACAATTTCTCTTGGATGCTTATCTTCAAAGCTGGTACTAACTTACTTATAATAAGATATCAAACTCCTCAAGAGATGAAAGGACGTAGCAGTGGTGAATACCAGTTTGCAGTAATAGCACTGATAATGGGGAGAAATACAGTTCAAAAGCATGTTCTCACCGTGGCAGTAGCGTAAGTTGGTCCAGAGCCATCAATAAAAATAAGACCTTGTTCTGAAGCCTGAGCCATTGCCTATAGAACACAATATAAATATATATATATATATATATAGAGAGAGAGAGAGAGAGAGAGAGAGAGAGAGAGAGAGAGAGAGATCAGATAACTATAGTTCCACACTGTCAAATTAATGAAAAGGACAAATTAGCCTTTTCCAAATGGCAAGTTATTATTGCTTCATCCTTCATGATGAAGCAAATTAAAAAATAGTGAGGATACAACCCTGAAAATACCACCCCAAAAAAAATAAAATAAAAAAAAATAAAAAATAAAGAAATTTATTAAATAGAAATAAAGCTAAGACTAGTCACTGAGAAGTTATTCTAAATAGGATTACAAGAAATAAGAAATCAGTGAATCAAGTGCTTATTCTTTAGTCGAATATATTAACAATTTTTCAAAATACTTCAATACCAATTAAAAACCAACTTCAAGAGATAAAAGGTAATGTAGATATACCTTCTCAAGTCC